CGTCCATACCTTGATGCATACCATTTTTAAGCGATCTGTCACTATACAAAAAAACTTTTAGAACAAAAGTTGTAGCAAATTTTATTCTTACCAATATTTCTTCTAGTCTCGCTGTCAGATGCGTCAATATTGAGAAAAATAAGAAAATATGAAAATTTGATGAATTCGTTATTTTACTAGTAATTAATGGTACCATTCGGAAATCGGAGCATGTTACACAAAAACTTTTAGAAAAAAAGTTGTAACAAATTTTATTCTTACCAATATTGCTCTCTTCTAGTCTTGCTGTCAGATGCGTCAATATTGAGAAAAATAAGAAAATATGAAAATTTGATGAAATCGTTGTTTTGCTAGTAATTAATGGTAGCCTTCGGGAATCGGAGCATGTTACAAAAAAAACGTTGAGAACAAATGTTGTAGCAAATTTTATTCTTAGCAATATTGCCCTCTTACACTTTTGCTCTCTGATGAATAGATATCGAGAAAAATACGAAAATTTAAAAATTTGATGAATTTTATTTTTTTAAGTAGGTAATGGTAACAATTCGAAATCGGAGCATATTACAAAAAAACTTTTACAACAAAAGTTGTAGCAAATTTTGTTCTTAGCAATATTGCTCTCTTGCACTTTTGCTCTCAGATGAATAGATATCGAGAAAAATAGGAAAATATGAAAATTTGATGAATTTGATTGTTTTAAGTAGGTAATGGTAACATTTTTGAATCGGAGCATGTTACAAAAAAACTTTTAGAACAAAAGATGTAGCAAATTTTATTCTTAACAATATTGCTCTCTTGCACTTTTGCTCTCAGATGAATAGATATCGAGAAAAATACGAAAATTAGAAAATTTGATGAATTTTATTGTTTTAAGTAGGTAATGGTAAAATTTTTGAATCGGAGCATGTTATAAAAAAACTTTTAGAACAAAAGTTGTCGCAAATTTTATTCTTAACAATATTGCTCTTTTGTATATTTGCTCTCAGATGCGTCAATATTGAGGAAAATGCGAAAATATGAAAATTTTAAGAATTCGTTAATGGGTAGCAATGGGGAATCGGAGCATGTTACAAAAAAACTTTTGGAATAAAAGTTGTAGCTAATCTTATTCTTAACAATATTGCTCTCTTGTATATTTGCTATCAGATGCGTCAATATTGAGAAAAATACGAAAATTCGATGAATTTCCTTGTTTTACTATTAGCTAAAGCGCCCTTCACACGATCAACATACAGGGTGGTTCAGTTTTTAATCGGGAAACTTTACTAGGATGTAGTACTTGCCAAAATAATACAAGTTTTATATATAAACATAGGGTCGCAACGCTTTTGTTTTCGAGCTATGAGCGATCAAAGTTGAGCCAAAAATTTACATTGACAAAATATTGTCAATATGGCCAATAAATATTGACAAACTGTCTGAGACTCAATATTTATTGACAATCTTTTAATAAAAAAGTTTTAGGATATTTTCATCTATCTATGTATAATTTTTCTAATGTATTTATCATATTCATAAAAAAAATCTAGGCATAAATTGAACGGGGTGGTTACGTTTAGTAGTTTAGAAGGGTAGGTTGAAAGTACAAATAGGGCCAAAACGTGCCCTATTATGAGTTAAACATATTTCCCAAATTTCATTTTCCTAGGTACTCAGATGAGTCAATATTGGGAAAAATACGAAAATTTAAAAATTTGATGAATTTTCTTGTTTTACTATCAGCTAATGGTAACATTTGGAAATCGGAGCATGTTATCAAAAAACTTTTATAACAAAAGTTGTAGCAAATTTTGTTCTTAACAATATTGCTCTCTTGTATATTTGCTCTCAGGAGCGTCAATATATAATATAAATATAATATAATATTTTGTCTTTGTATCTAGTTTACAGAGAGAAATTAATAGTAAACACTATGTATACAAGCTAAACAAAAACAAAAACTCCCGTAACACGCCATATAACTAATTTCTATTATGATCAGTACCAAGCAGCTGGCGCATGGGGTAACAGCAAAAACTGAAAAATCAGTTTGCACGCGGCTTTCGAAAAAAAAAATAATCAAAATTCAAACATAAACATTATTCTTACTGTGAACAAAGATAACAAATTATACAACACTCAATTCAACATTGAAAGAACTAAACCATAATTGAAAAAATTCCATCTATCACGCCATAAAGTGATTTAAGTGATTTCACCCATCTTTTTGAAAAGTATTTCCACCTAGATTTCACCAACGTAAGGTTCTGTGCTGTTAGGTATTCCCTAAACTTATTATATATTTTAATGGAATGGTAAAAGTAATGTCTTTGACCTACAGTCTTATTATATAACAGCACGATTCTGGGGTGCAATCCGAGTAGAATATTGAGAAAAATACGAAATTTTTTTGTTTTACTATCAATTAATGGTAACATTTGGGAATTGAAGCATGTTATCAAAAAACTTTTAGAACAAAAGTTGTTGCAAATTTTGTTATTAACAATATTGCTCTCTTGTATTTTTGCTCTCAGATGCGTCAATGTTGAGAAAAATACGAAAATTTAAAAATTTGATGAATATTTTGTTTTACTATTAGCTAATGGTAATATTTGGGAATTGAAGCATGTTACCAAAAAACTTTTAGAACAAAAGTTGTTGCTTATGTTATTCTTAACAATATTGCTCTCTTGTATTTTTGCTCTCAGATGCGCCAATATTGAGAAAAATACGAAAATTTAAAAATTTGGTGAATTTTTTGTTTTATTATTAGCTAATGGTAATATTTGGAAATCGGAGCATGTTATCAAAAAATTTTTAGTGCAAAGGTTGTTGCAAATTCTGTTCTTAACAATATTGCTCTCTTGTATTTTTGCTCTCAGATGCGTCAATATTGAGAAAAATACGAAAATTTAAAAATTTGATGAATATTTTGTTTTACTATTAGCTAATGGTAATATTTGGGAATTGAAGCATGTTACCAAAAAACTTTTAGAACAAAAGTTGTTGCTTATCTTATTCTTAACAATATTGCTCTCTTGTATATTTGCTCTCAGATGCGTCAATATTGAGAAAAATACGAAAATTTAAAAATTTGATGAATTTTCTTGTTTTACTACTAGTTAATGGTAATATTTGGGAATTGAAGTATGTTAACAAAAAGCTTTTAGAACAAAAGTTGTTGCAAATTTTGTTATTAATTTGATGTATTTGCTCTCAAATGCGGCAATATTGAGCAAAATTCAAAAATTTGAAAATTTGATGAATTTCCTTGTTTTACTATTAGTTAGTGGTAACATTCGGGAATTAAAGCATGTTATCAAAAAACTTTTAGAACAAAAGTTGTTGCTTATCTTATTCTTAACAATATTGCTCTCTTGTATTTTTGCTCTCAGATGCGTCAATATCGAGAAAAATACGAAAATTTAAAAAATTGACGAATTTTCTTGTTTTACTATTAGCTAATGGTAACATTTGGAAACCGGAGCATGATATCAAAAAATTTTTAGAACAAAAGTTGTAGCAAATTTTATTCTTAACAATATTGCTCTCTTGTCTTTTTGCTCTCAGATGCGTCAATATTGAGAAAAACACGAAAATTTAAAAAATTGACGAATTTTCTTGTTTTACTATTAATTAATGGTAACATTCGGGAATTGAAGCATGTTATCAAAAAACTTTTAGAACAAAAGTTGTTGCAAATTTTATTATTAACAATATTGCTCTCTTGTATTTTTGCTCTCAGATGCGTCAATATTGAGAAAAATACGAAAATTTAAAAATTTGATGAATTTCCTTGTTTTACTATTAGCTAATGGTAACATTTGGGAATCGGAGCATGTTATCAAAAAACTTTTAGAACAAAAGTTGTTGCAAATTTTGTTATTAACAATATTGCTCTCTTGTATTTTTGCTCTCAGATGCGTCAATATTGAGAAAAATACGAAAATTTAAAAATTTGATGAATTTCCTTGTTTTACTATTAGTTAGTGGTAACATTCGGGAATTAAAGCATGTTATCAAAAAACTTTTAGAACAAAAGTTGTTGCTTATCTTATTCTTAACAATATTGCTCTCTTGTATTTTTGCTCTCAGATGCGTCAATATCGAGAAAAATACGAAAATTTAAAAAATTGACGAATTTTCTTGTTTTACTATTAGCTAATGGTAACATTTGGAAACCGGAGCATGATATCAAAAAATTTTTAGAACAAAAGTTGTAGCAAATTTTATTCTTAACAATATTGCTCTCTTGTCTTTTTGCTCTCAGATGCGTCAATATTGAGAAAAACACGAAAATTTAAAAAATTGACGAATTTTCTTGTTTTACTATTAATTAATGGTAACATTCGGGAATTGAAGCATGTTATCAAAAAACTTTTAGAACAAAAGTTGTTGCAAATTTTATTTACCAATATTGCTCTCTTGTATTTTTGCTCTCAGATGCGTCAATATTGAGAAAAATAAGAAAATATGACACTTTTCCTCTCAGACTTAGAAATATCAAGAAATATACGAAAATATAAAAATTTGACAAATTGGTTGTTTTTTCAAGTTGTTGGATAAATTTTTTATTATCACTGGAGAATTTGAGTAAGTTTGATGTCTTTCTTTTACATTTAGAGTGTTCTTTATACCTTCTCCCTATCCTTCGTGTTCTACTAATTTTTTTCCACTTCTTTCGTGTCTTTAATTTTTGCTTTTAATGTTTCAAGTCTTACTTTTCAATCATTCTAATTATTAGTATTATTTAAATTAAACATTAAAAACAAGCCTAAGATTACAAATTAAATCTTAAAATAAATTTAAATTATTTTTGACATTTCACGACAGATATCTGTAATGAGTAAAATTGGTTGCCTAATTTTAAGGTTATAAAATAATTAAAAAAAAAAATAAATTATTTTAGTTATAATTATTAGTTTTTTGTTTATTTTTTATAATAATAACGATTTTTTTAATTAAATTAACCAAATTTTTTATTATTAACAAACAAACGCGTTAATTTCCTTTTTTGCGGTTAAACTTCACTTCGTTTAGGTTATGTTTCGACACATAGGAGGGATGTGCGATAATTCTTATCAAAAGGAGAAAAATCTCAACTCTTATCTCAAAACCGAGTTTAAATCAACATGGAGAAGCCAAATATTTTAATTTTAGGAGGTAAGTTTTCGAATTAATCCCAAAAATTAATCAAAATCGGACATAACCTCACTTTGTAAAAAAAAAAATTAATTTTTTGTGTTTTAGGATGTGGATTCATCGGGAGGAATCTCGTGGAGTATCTCGTTGAGGAGGATTTAGCCCGATTTATCCGAGTCGTGGATAAATGCCCCCCTCAACTTGCTTGGTTCAATAAAAATCACCAAAAATGCTTCAAAAACGAAATTGTTGAGTTTAAAAGTGCTAATTTGATTAATCCGGGTGAGTTAATGAATTTATTTGGTTAAAATTTGTATTAATTGGTTTGTGTGATTAGAATCTTGCTCAAATGCTTTCTCCACGGACGATTTTTCTTGGGATTTTGTTATTAATTGTGCTGGAGAGACCAAATATGGCCAAACTGACCCTGTGTATTGTGAGGGGATCCTCAATTTGAGTCTAAATTGTGCTAGGGAGAGTGCAAAACACCTTGTGAGGAGATATGTTGAGATATCCTCAGGGCAAATGTATTCAAATGAAAAAATTGGGCACAAAGAAGATTGTAATAATGAGCCTTTTGGGTCAATTGCTAAATGGAAGTTGGAGGTTGAAAAAGAATTGGGGAACATCCCCAATTTGAAATTTACCATCTTAAGACCTGCTTTAGTGTATGGTTGTGGAGATAAATCTGGTTTAACAACTCGAATTGTTGCTGCAGCTCTTTATAAAGAGTTAGGAAAAGTTATGAAATTATTATGGAATTCTAATTTAGCATTAAACACAATTCATGTAAAAGATTTATGCAAAGCAATCCTTTTTGTTTGTAACAAAGAAGAAAAAGTTGTGGGGGAAATCTTTAATGTGGTTGATGAAGCTTCATCAACTCAAGGAACTTTGGCTAACATCCTTTCAGAAATATTTAACATAAAAATCGATTATTATGGTACCTTATTATCAGCAGTTGTTGATTTAAATTCAGTAGCTGATGAAGCCAATGATAAACATTTAGCCCTTTGGGCTGAAGTTTGCAAACGCGAGGGGACCCAAAATACGCCTTTAACGCCTTATATGAACCCAGAATTATTATCAGATAAGCATTTACACTTAGATGGGGGGAAATTAAAAGGTTTAGGGTTTAATTGTGATGTTCCAAAACCTTCCCTTGATAATATTAAGGTTGTTATTGAGGATTTTATTGTGATGGGGATTTTTCCTAAAGCTCTACTTTAATTTTTTTTGATTAATTATGTTTTGGGGGAATTTAAGTTTAAGGGATAAAGTCAATTATGTGCTCAATTTGTATTGTAATGCTTTTTTTTGAATTTTTTGTACTTAATGTGGCGTAATTAACGAGTTGAGGTGCTTTTTTTATACTATTATAATGATATTATTGAAATAAAATTGAATATATAGTTTTTATATATATGTAGGAACTGTAATTATCACCTTTTATTCCTTGAAAATTCTCCCTAAAAAGATGCTTTATTGAAATTAAGGAATGAGATAATTAATTTTCAATTGTAAACAAATTTTGTTAACAACTCTTTTTTATTAAATCAATAATAAGGATATTACCTCAAAAATATTAATATTTATACTATTCAGAGGGAAATTAAAATTTCAAGTTAGCAAAAAATTTTATTAACAAACTCTGTTCCAGTGTGGGAAAAAAGTTTTGT